TGAACATTGCTCAGCATCATGAAAATTAAACCTTATTTTCAATAAGCAATCCTGAAAAATATTTGGGGGTGCTTAACTTTTTTTCCAGGTGTATATTATACCAAAAGCAGCTTACTTAACGGCTGTATGTGACATTCTATATCGATACCACAATCCTAAGTGAATTTTTGTTGTTGTTATGTAAAAAATATCTCAGATCTTTGTCACTTTGGGTGATATTTAGAACTTGTGCTTTAACATCCATAAATTTATAATTTTCTATTTTTACCATTTAAATCAATAAATGTGTAGAGTAAAACAATATTTTCGAAAATTTTCAAGATTAATCATAAGTAAATATAAAAAATAATGTTTTCCAATCAACAAACAACATTAGTCGATCTACAAAAGAAAGATACTAACATCCTTGAAAACTTCAATAAACGATTCTAAATTATTGATTCCATTCTAGAACTTCTGGGAAGATTCGTATCGTTACCTCACTTTGGTGGCAACGCTTGGAGTGCTACTGGTCATGTTGGTTTCACTTATGCCGCTAGAGAGCGTGGCAGAGTATTACCACTGGACTTTGGCTTTCATTGTGTGGATTTTCATGGTAGTAACGGTGTCCGTTTGGTCCTATTTTAAGACGATGAAATCTAGCATGGAAAGCTTGCTTGTAGTTTATTTTATGGTTTTTGTGGTAAACACTATGTTACCTCTTCCTCGGATGGCGGCTTCTGTTACCTCCCTAATAACAGTCATCTCCCAGGTGGCGCTGTCGGCAGCAGTGTCTAATAAGGAAACAGATTATTTGGGAAGTCAGGTAAGTGTTTTACCATTCATTGTGTTACCTAGCGACCTTTATGATTTATTAAACTTGGAGCTTACCCAGGTAGTAATATTAAAGTCAGTTACTTCAATCTATTGATGCTACTGACATTATTCTAGACAAAAAGATGTTTCATCTCGTAACTTTCAATCCTAATAACAAAGTACTAAAGACAATAAAGATATTCTTTCTGTCAAGTTTAATTATCCATTAAATTTCTACAAACAGTGAATGTATTTTTTTTAAATGACAGATCGTAGCGAACACCTTGTTTTTGTTGAGTGCAGCCGTAATAGGCTACTATCATAAACTGATGAGAGATGAAGCTTTAGATCGAACGTTTGCTGGAACAAGAAGCGTTATAGAATCTAGAATCAAGCTGGAGTATGAAAAAGAACAACAGGTGACACTACTCTTTATAAACTACGATTTTAACTCTGTGTTCTCTCTTTAAATAAACTTCACCATTATCCGTTACTTGACTTGAAATGCAAAACAATAATATAGAAACTTAAATAAACTTGTACGTACTATTTGTATAAGTTAAAACAGTAGCATGTTTATTTAGATAGATATATCTATATTCCGTTTGAGGCGAATTTTAGATCATTCGACATTGCAGTACTATCATAGTTTGGTGGAGTATGTCACTGTTCTTACCAAAGACTAAAGACTTCTTACCAAGTACTAAATCTGGAGTTCTATTCCCCAAGGCATACGGAGTGCAGATAGCCCATTGTGTAGCTTTGTACTAAAACATACAACAAAGAGGACAGATTTTAGAACATAGTGATATTAGTAAACAGCTAGAGCCAAAGACCATGACATTTCGAAAAAAAAAGAGCTTTCAGCGATTTCCACGGAAGCGGAAACATTGACAGGCAGAGCGTTTAGTGCAGCAACAGACTCCATCACTACACCCCAAGCCAATCCGAAGCAATATACTCATCTGTATTGTAAAGCTATGCTCATGAAAGAGCACGTTTTAAACCTCTTCCTCCCAAAAAAACTGTAATTAAATTCAACAGATCCATTGGTGCTACTAACGATATAACAAAGAAATATTCAAAGTTGAAACAGGTTCAAAAGCAAAATGGTCACAAGCTTCCGACTACTCTTCAAAATCATGAAAATTGAAATCTAAAATTTAGATCAATCAGAAATCAGAAAATTATAAAACTATTCCTTATCCATTATTCCAAACGAAGGTTTTCTGTTGATTTTTCACACATTTCACAGATTCCTTTTGTCTTACAACCAATTTTGTAAAGGAATCATGACGAAAGAAGTCCACATCTATTTTACATATATTGAAAATAAACATAACCTTTACTGAAGTCAATGGTATGACGCACAAAATTCATATTTATTTTGTGGATAAAACAGATTTATGTGGATGTCAATGACATCAGACACCCAAAATCTCAGATTTCTTTATTGGTTAAAGAAGTAATATAATACATTCAAACGGCAAGGATATCGGACACAAAATTTATGCTTATTTTGTGGATAAAACAGATTTAAGTGGATGCCAATGACATCAGACACCCAAAATCTCAGATTTCTTTATTGCTTAAAGAAGTAATATAATACATTCAAACGGCAAGGATATCGGACACAAAATTTCCAATTTCTTTATGGATGTAACAAACAAAACAGCTAGCTGAAGAAAGCCACAATTATCTTTAACAAGAAAAAAGAAGTTAGCACTCTTCTCTTGTATGAATTATCTAGCATGTTCTAGAAATTATTGAAATTCTGTATTTTCTGTTTTCAGGAACAACTTCTTCTTAGTGTAATCCCAGCTTACATTGCGGCAGAAGTGAAACGAAAATTTATTTTAAAATTAGCAGATGCATGCCAAACAACCACACCACAATCGAGGCAGGGGTTCCACGAACTTTACGTGCAACGCCACAATAACGTCAGGTATGTTACAATCCCATCATCTTCAGTATGAATTGAGAACAGAAACAAAATGTCGCGATCTTTTCTTCTAACTTTATTTTTTTTAGATCAGTAATATCCCGGGCTGGGTGACGATGTTTTCGAAATAAATTCAAATATTATTTTTAATCAATCAGAGTGATTTTTCTTTTGCCACAGTAGCTTAACTAAGTTCATGAGAAGAACATGCTCATATTTGAGCGATTATCCTAGTTGTAGTGATTACTGTGTAAACAAGTGTGTGATTATCCTAGTTGTAGTGATTACTGTGTAAACAAGTGTGTGATTCTCCTGGTTGTAGTGACTACTGTGTAAACAAGTGTGTAATTATCCTAGCTGTAGTGATTACTGTGTAAACAAGTGTGAGATTATCCTAGCTGTAGTGGTTACTGTGTAAACAAGTTTGATATCATAATTATTTTGCAACTTCAAAAAATATTTTTGGTTATTATAAACTGTCTGTGGTTTTTTTAAACTTCCACAGGCTTAACATCCAATAGATTATATTAAGCTTTGGGCTTCTCTTCATAAACAAAGAGCAGTTTGACGATTAGTGACCTATGGCCTGTCTTAGTAAGCAAAGAGTTTAGCCTGATTACCAATGAACTTTGGCTTGTTCTGGTACACAAATAGTTTATCTAGTCTGATTACCAAAGATTTGAGGCCTGTTCTGGTAGACAAAGAGTTTAATCCGATGACCTCTGTCCTGTTTTAGAACACTGAAATTCTAAGTCTTTCATGTAATTATCAACAAATAAAAATAAGTGAAATTAAAGTCTGGAATTTGTTTTAAAATATGTTATTGTCTTTCCTCCCTGAAAACAGGATACAGCCAGTTAGCTGCTGAATAATACTTTGTGTTACACCTTGAAGAAGTCGACAACATTATTATATATTAGTACATTTACAGGGTTTGTAATGTGAAGGCTAGACAGCTTTCACAAATAATAGCTATGTATGTTAATTACGATATGAACTTCAGTATTTTTCACAAATAATAGCTATGTATGTTAATTACGATATATTGATAACGTTGCACATTACTGGTAAGGTTTGTTAAGGTGTTGTTATTTCTCCTCCTCACTAATAAGCAGTTGGATTCCAGGTCCAGCAATTGCTGGTAGTATAACCCAGTTCTTCAACCATATTTGTCTCTATAAAACATTGGTTAATTACGTTGGGAAGAAGTCGATAGGGGGAAGAAAACTTCTCAGGGTATATTTATTAGGTGAATTATAATTTAAGGTTGATCGTGTTAGGAATAGGTAGAGCTACCAAACGAATCACTAACAAATGGAGACACAGTGCAATATTTCATCTGTTTATATAAAGCGAAGATCTACCAAAAGGATTTATTTCAAAAGAATATACTTTACAGTCATCCTACTACTTCAATAAATAGAAAAGCTATAGAATGTATCAGTGACAACAGGAAACACAAAAATGTCCTTCATCTATTGCAATAAAGACTCAAATATGGAAATATCAGATGTCATTAACTAAATATATGTTGACGGTGTCACATTTATCTAAAGAGGTCTGGCCAAATACGGAAATACTAGATGTCATTAAGTTAATATATGTTATGCATATATTTCATGACGGTGTTACATTTATCTAAAGATGTTTAGCCAAATACAAAATACTAGATGTCATTAAATTAATATGTCAGACAAATATGTGAAGACGGCGTAACGTTCATCTAAAGAGGTTTGGCCAAACACGGAAATACTAGATGTCATTAAGTTAATATGTTATACATATATTTGATAACGGCGTCATAGTCAATCCAAAGAGGTTTGGTCATCATGAATGGCGCAATCATGATTTAATTTACGCAACTTAACAGTGCTACGTTGAGTTAATACATTATTACTATTTCAATCAGTCAAATTTCTCAAATAATGAACACTTAAGAAGAAACTGAGTTTTTATAAAGCATTAATAGAGACAATGAGTTCTGTGCTCGAACGTTTAGAACAAATGATAAAAATAAATAACTTGAAACACCTTACATTATTTAAAGAGTGCTAAATGAATAAAATTCTTTTGTGTCTCTGTGAACAATTGTTGAATTTTCCTAAAAACACAAAACATATACATGTGTTGAATTTCACACGAATGATCTATTTTTTCAGAAGCTCTTAAACAGACTAAAAATTATAATATCAAAAATCATTAACTATAAACATAAAAAAATATTAGTACTGATAACTTAACTAGTGAAACTCTGCTTTCATAACACTTGATACAAATGAAGTTAAGTCCAAAATTGTAAAGTTTAGGAGGACGTCAATGGGCCGTTCTCGTTCTACCAGAATATTCAAAAAACAATAACAAAATTAAACAGCCAAATTCATTATGACGACCAAATCTTGTCGAAAGGTTCTACATTTGTTACCTGTAACAAAGTTTTCTTCATTACCCATTCAAACCGTTTCCAAACTTTATTTAGTTACCCTGTATAATGATAAAAATATAAGTAACAAAATTATATATATTTAACATTTTAATCAATTCCGTTCGTGAAAAAACAACAACAAACACTTACAGCTGTACTCTTTTATTTTATTCAGAAAAAAACCAACTTTTTATCCAACTGCAACCGTTTAGATGAAATAGGACGTACAACACACAGTCATTTAAAACATTTAGTCACATTCACACCATACAAACATAAAAACATAACAATATTTGACGGTTTTAACCTGCGTGGCATCTTTAGTCAACATGTCAAGTCATAATTCCCGAGATTCAGGCATTAGGAGCTGCTGACCAAAGGGAAGGCAACCGTTTATAAGTCCCCAACGGCTGAAACTGTATTCAGAGGCATATCGCGACTTGAACCATGATCTGCCCGAGCCTAATAAAAATGAGCAAAATGATTTTAAATTTAATGTCTATCGTAAACTAGCATTATATGCATATTTTGATTATTTAAGTGTCTGATTTAAAATGTTAAGCGTTCTACTTAATTGGGTGTACAAAAGTGTCAGTAATTACGATCTATTGAAAGAATAAATAGCAAAAACGATTCAAGTAATTTCAAACTGAGTCAACTTTGTACAGAACTTATACACAACATAGTTCGTAATTATTTGACCCAAATTACTTTTCCTGAGAGAATTTGCTGTTCCAAAGATTCTAGTTTTCCATTTAGTATTTATTGAATATTTAATAATAAAGAAAACCCAATAACCCGAGCGCTTTCGGAATGCCCACTTTATGAAAGCACTCAGGTCATTGAATTTCTTTTCTAAGACCAACTTTTTCTGTTTATCCTACGTGCTTTGGAATATCACAATGGTTGAATGTTTTTAATATATGTTATTAATTATAATTTTCGTTTATTTATTATATAAATATTTTCATTGCTTATTTAATACATAGATATGTAGCTAAAATAAACCTCCTAAGTTTGCCCAATCCCTTGAGATGTTAGGAGGAAATGAGATAAGAGGGTCCCAGTTGGTAAAACGGCCACACTTGTAACTTGCTGCCATCTGGAGTAAATTATATGTAACTATATTATATATCGGAAGCGCGAATATGAATGATAGAAACAAAGATTAATTTCAAACAATGAAAAATTATAGACATACGAATATACCATAAAAGAAACACAGCTAAAGATTACTGATTTTTTTATCAAGTGCGATTGCTTTACAACGAGTAGCTTCGGTAAAACATGAAGAGAAGAGCTGAAATGGATGAGTTCAGTAATCATACTATCAACATTAATATAGAAAGTAATTTTAATATTACGCGTAAAACAATACCACACACTCAGTCAAGTTTTACTTTTAAGATTGCCTAGATAAAGTCATATCTATTTTTTCAAGTCGCACCAAGTCAACTCATGGTTTATCCTCTATACTTCTTCGTTATGAGAGTGTTTTCTATGTATTTTCTTTTTACTTCAGCTCACTCCTTTTTATGTTATTATTTGTTTGGTGAAATGCTATTCTATTGAAATTATAATTCACAAATCCACCTCTCTTGTTCTTAACCTTTCTAGAAATTACTTCATATTTAATGTCTTATATCTACAATCAGCACGGTGAGTGCTTCTAGTAATCAGTAATATTTGTTTTATATTTATGGGCCCGGTGTAGCCTAGTGGTTAGGGGTGTTCGACTCGCAATCTGTTGTGAAATCGAAATCTGTCACCGAACATGCTCTCCTTTTCAGGTATGAGGCATTATGATGTGACGGTCAGTCTCACTATTCGTTGGCCCAAGAGTTGTCGGTGGGTGGGGTTGACTAGCTGCCCTACCTCTATTCTATCACTTCAGCTATTAGTAGTATTTATTCATATTTAACGTTTTCTATCTACCATAATCATTATTGGCTTTGTTGTTGTTGTATTTTTTTAGCAATAGTATAATGTCTAATGTTTGTTATTTGCTGTCCTATACCTCTCTTTTTTGTTTTCAGTATCTTATATGCTGACATAGTCAACTTCACACCCTTGTCGGAACAGCTTTCTGCTTCGGATTTGGTGCAAACTCTAAACCAGTTGTTCGGGAAGTTTGATCAATTAGCTCAGGTAAGTTTGCTGTCTTTGAACGAATAAAAATTCACGCCACTAAGGTATAGATTAACGGCACTAACATATAGATTAAAGGCACCAAGATACAGTTTAACGCCACTAAGGTATAGATTAACGACACTAAGGCATAGATTAACAGCACTAAGATACAGTTTAACGCCACTAAGGTATAGATTAACGCCACTAAGGTATATATTAACGGCACTAAGGTATAGATTAACGAGTATAGATTAACGGCACAATGATACAGATTAACGCCACTAAGGTATAGATTAACGGCACTAAGATACAGATTAACGGCACTAAGATACAGATTAACGCCATTAAGGTATAGGTTAACGGCACTGAGATATAGTTTAACGCCACTAAGGTATAAATTAACGCTACTGAAGTAAAGACTAACGCCACTAGGTGATAGAAGGTGATGCTATGTGTGTTACAGATAGGTTTGTTTTCTATTGACAGTCTCCAGGAAACAACGATTTATCTCATTATAAAAATATCGATGTGTACGAAAATGTATTAATTTCACATAGCAACATTAGATAAAAAATTATAAATAACTCAATACTGCTACCTGGTGTCAAAAACTGGATATATAGTAAGTGTGTTTTTAGCGTTTGATGTATTCTAACCGAATACAAGTTTAAAGAGGTTATACTTTCATTATACAGGTCACTGGTTAGGCCACATTTGGAACATTGTGTTCAGTCTTGGGTCTCTTACCTTAGGAAAGACATTGAATTGTTGGAAAGGGGTCAGAGGAGGGCTACTACGATGATACATGGGATGAGGGGTTGTTATACGACGAGAGGCTGAAATCTCTCAAATTGTTTTCTTTTGAAAAAAGAAGAGTTAGGGGGATCTGATTGAGGTGTTTAAGATTGTAAAGGGAATTGGTAGTGTTGATGTATAATTTTTTTATTATTTAACAGGGAGAATAGTAGGACTAGGTG